TAGCCAGCAATTACAGTTCAAATCATAAGCCCTATAAAAGAGGCTTATGCTCAAAATGCTGAAGAGGGGCATTAATCACCTTGGGAGCCAGGAAAGCCTTCACAAGAGAGTTATCTTTTGGAGCTGAGCAAAGAAGGTTGAGGAACAGCCAGTCAGGTGAACAGACGGTGCTGCAAGCAAAGAAAACAGCAAGTGCCAGGAAGTGAGCTATGAACATGGCATATTTGAATGAAGACTGGTACCTAGGCATACTAGGTTACGTGATATAAATGCAGGGTGAAGGGGGAGGGTGGTGTGGGGATAGAGAAGAGGGTAAAAGACTGTTTAGAGATGAAACTAGAAAGACTGCCGAGATAAATCTTAAGTGGTCTTACAGTTTTGTTAAGAGGAAGAGGAATTAGGCCCTTTCAAGCTTCAATTGTGCTACAGTTTATGCTCTCTGGACATTTTCTCACTAAACTTCACCGAAGTTCTTCCAGGTTGGAATTGTTCTAGTTGCTCAATAATTTGGGAATGAGCAAACTGAGGTTCAGAGAGGTTTGGGAACTTGTTCAGAGCCCCACCATGAGCAGTGGCAGAGCTCAGACTCTTGGGTTAGAGCCTCTGTTCTTCCCACTGCGACATGCAGCCTCCCTGGCTGGGGCACAGTGGCTTGAGCTCTGTCCCATGCACAGTCTGGAGTCATTGAAGGATTGTAGGCAGAGGGTGACATGATATGGTGATTTGCACTTATGGTAGCAGCATAAAGGGTGAATCAAGAAGAGCTGAGAATAGAGATAAGAAGACTGGTTAAAAGGAGCAATGCAAGAAAATCAGGTGAGAGTTGATGAGGTCCTGGATTAAGGGAATAGCAGTGGGGCTGGAGGATAGGCAAGGGAAAGGTGAAGATGTATGCAAGGGAGTGATTACATTGACGGATCAAGGAATCTGAGTTAAGCAAAGAGGAAAATGAGGCCGTTAAGGGGTGGTAGAAAGTGTGAAGTTGGTCAGGTCAAAAGATAGGAAGGAACATGAATGGGACCTTTGGGTTATTGATTTAGTACTTACCTTTCATTTCCTGGTAAGACCAATTCTCCAACTTTGACACAGCCCAGTACAGGACTCAATGGGGAGACGGTCTTCCACAGAGTTCTAGCTTCTCGGTAAAGCCTACTCCATGCAACTGACAGTCTTGTTCCATCATTTTAAGCTGCCTAAGGTAACAGCCTTCCAAATGCATCCTCCATCCTTGTTAATGGAAAGTCATCCTCATCTCTCAGAATCTCACTCCAGACTCTGTACATCTGCTAGTCTGATCCCTTCTCCTCTCTTAACTTCCATTGTACTCTCTGCATTTTATGATCAGTCCTCAGCAAAATACTCTATAATCTCAGTCTTCCTGAGTATTCACTTTGCCCTCACTTTGCCTTTTGGATCTAACCACCAACTAGCTGGCCCTGAGGCCAGGTTTTCCCTGCAGCCATCAGTGGCTGTCTCCTTTGCCACACAACACATTCCTGGGCATGGGCGGGAGGGGGATCCCCCATTGTGATATCCTGAATACTGTTCCTCCTTCTCTAACCATCTCTGGCTCCTTTAATATCAGAACCATCAGACTCTCACCCGCTATCCCTCCTTGGTGCAGTTCATTTTTCTTGTTTCTCCCTCTAACTCACTGAGGATTTTCAGCATTAAACTTACCATCCTTACAGCCATTATGGAAAATGATATAGAGGTTCCTCAAACAACTACATTTAGAACTGCCATGTGACCCAGCAATCCCACTACTGGATATACACCCAAAGGAATGGAAATCATCATGACAAAGGAATACTGCACTCCCATGTTTATTGCAGCTCTATTTACAATAGCCAAGACTTGGAACCAACCAAAATGCCCATTGTCAGATGACTGAATAAGGACAGTGTGTTATATACACAATGGGATACTACTCAGCCATAAAAAAGAATGAAATTCTGCCATTTGCAGCAACATGGATGAGTTTGGAGAAAATTATGTTGAGTGAAATAAGCCAGGCACAGAAAGAGAAATACTGCCTGTCCTCATTCATAAGTGGGAGCTAAAAAATAAACAAATAAATATAAAAAGAAGGCAAGATACAACAATCACAATAATATGTAGAACTTTCGAAAGGGAGAACAGAACTGAGGGTACTAGAGGTGGGAAGGGGTGGGTAAGGGAGGAATTGGTAAAAGGCCATGAAGAATGATTACATTCTATATTATTGAATGTACTAGTTATTCTGATTTGAACACCACATATTGCACACAGATATTGATATTCAAGTTTGTACCCCACAGATATGTACAATCAACTATGTTACAATTTTTAAAAATTGTAAAAAGTAAAAATAAAAAAATAATAAACTTACCATCTTTCTTACCACCACCAGACCTGTAATCCTGCTGACCTCAGTGTCCTTCAGTCCCCTGGCCTCTCAGTGCCTGGCCTCCTCGCCTGTGCTCTGACCCTGTCTTTGCCACGCACTCCCATGGTCACGCCCTGGAACCTGATTTTATCGCTAACTACATTTCCTCTATCATTTCCACATTATGCATCTCCCAGTCATACCTCCTCTACTCTCTCCCCTCTAACCAATCATCTAGCCTACTTACATTTCCAGTCTTTGCATCTGACCAACTTTTCACTGTCTATTGTCCCTGGATGGTCTCTTTTCTCTCTTCACCCGACTTAGATTCCTCCTGCCATCACTGCAGTCGCTACTTTGTATATGCTCTCCACTTCCTTGCCTCTTTTTTCTTTCATCTTGTACTAACACACATCTGGTTAAACCTAACTCTCCACCTACTCTATGCCTGCCTGTACATGAACTGCTGAATGTAGCTGATAAAATTCACAACTATGCTGACTGGTCTCAGGTCATAATGGTGACCACGAGTCTCAAGCAGGCCCTCGGTGCTACTCAGAAATCCACTACATTTATCTAGTGAATCGACTCTCCTAACTCTGACTCCCTGAGAAGATCACTTCATGCATTTTTTTCTCAACTATTCTCTCTCCTCCCTTTTAACCAAGGATTTTGCTTCTTATTGCACCAAGGGAATAGAATCAATCAGAAGAGAACAACCACGTCTTCCCACCGCCACATCCAGAATCCCACTGCATGAGTCCTTGTGTACTCTGTGTCGCCTCCTGTTACAGAGAATGAAGTGTTCAGCTCCTACGCAAGGCCGACCCCTCCACACGTGCATGGAATGCCAGCCCCTCTCACTTGCTCCAGGACGTGCTCCTGCACTCATCTCCACACCATCACTTCCTCCCTCTCCACTGAATTATTTCAATCAACATATCAATATACTTGAATATCTCCCATCTTAAAAACAAAAAACACAACCTCCCTTGACCCACATCACTCTCCAGTTAGAACCTATTTTTTCTTCGCCTTTACAGCAAAAGCATTGCTTCTGATTCCTCACTTTGCTTTCACTCTTAAATCTTCTCCACTCAGCCTTTGGAAGGTCGTTCTCCATTGTCACCTTAGTGACTGCTCAACAGCACTTAACACAGTTGCCTGTTCCTTCTTTGGTGAAACACTTTCCTCACATGGCTTTGTGATCCCACTTTGGTCCTCTTCACACCTCTCTTCTGTCTCAGTCTTGTGGCTGGATCTCCCCCTCTTCCCCATTTCTAAATATCAGGGTGCTTCACCACTCCGCCCTAGGGCCACTCGACTATCTACTCACTCTCAGAGTGACCTCATCTCATCCTTTCCCATAGTTTTAAATGCCAACCACATGTGTATATATTTGCATGCCAAATTTGTATCTCCAGTCATGACCTTTCTCTTGAAATCCTGCTATTTATTCCCATTTGTCTGTTAGACACCTCTACCTGATGTCTAATAGGAATGTTAAACTCAACATGTCAAAACCAAACTCTTAATTTATTTCCTTCAGATCTGCTTCTCCTCCCATCCTTCTCAGTAAATGGATTCACTGTTCATTTGGTTGCTTAGGCCAAAAATCTTGCAGTTACTCTTGACTCCTTTCTTCTAATCCATGACCCACTCCTGTAGGATCTACTGTGAAAATACATTCTGAATCTGCCAACTTCTCACTACCTCCACTCCACCAGCTCTGTCCAAGCCACCACTATGTCTCACTTTGACCACCGACATAGCCACTGACTGGTCTCCATTGCTTCTGTCCTCCTAATCAGTAAGGCCCTCGTAATCCTGCACCTGCAACCTCTGTAGCCCCATCTCTCACTTCACTCCTGCCTTGAGTGATGCCGGCTACACTGCCTTCCCTTGTCTTCAATTGCACCAAGCGTGCTCCTCCTTTAGGAAACTTACTCTTCTCTTATAATGCTCTCACTCAAGACCCCCCTGTGGCTTGCTCCCTCACTTCATTCAAGTCTCTGCTTAAGTGACGTTATTTCAGACAGGTCCTCCCTACAGCCGTGCCCCATCACTCTCTATCCTCTCACTTGGCTCCATCTCTTCATACCGTTAATCGCCATCTGCCATTACATATTTATGAAGTTATGTCTCCATTATTAGAATTTAAGCTTCACGAGTGCAGGGACTTTATATGTTTTGTCCTCTCTTGTATTTCTCAGGACCCAGAACAGTGCCTGACACATAATAGCTGCTCAGTTAATAGCTGCTCCCTCCTCTTACCCCAGCAAACGTATCTACACCTTATGACCCTGTTTGCTCTTTATATCATCTGAAACGACTTTGGTATGTTTACTTATTCTCTTCATCCGCTGCTAGAATGTAACCTCTGTGATAGTAAGGACCTTGTTGACCTTTCACAACAGTCCCCCTGCTGGAGCCAGCCTCAGAGCAGAGGCTCCATAGGTATTTGCTGCAGAATGAATGACCCGACCATGTTTGAGGACTGGTGTGCCTCCATCAGAAAGCTCCTTTTCCTCTTTGATAAGTCAGGCCTGGCTGACCTGAGCTGGTGAGGGCTCTGGCCTCCCCCTTGGCTTCTCTTTGCCCTCCCCTCCCCCAGTGCCTTTCAGCCCATTACCTTGATGGCCCCCGTGGCGATCTGTATGTGGTGCAGCCGTCGCAGCGTGCTCTCTCTGTCGATGAAGTAGGAGGCTGCCAGCTGGTGCAGCGTCTCCAGGGACACTGCGGAGCTGTTGCCACCGCCTCCAATTATAGGGGCACTTCCTGTTGTCTCTGTCTTTCTGCTCAGTTTCCGCTTATCCACAAAAATGGTCAGAGACTCTTCTCCTGTAGCAAACAACATGGGTTCGTCGGTGAGGCCTTCTGCTCCTGAATCCCCTACCAACACGAGCATGAAACCCTTGGCCAGGGTCGACGATGCTGTGGACCTCTCCCCCCATCCCTTGTCGTCTTTAGAGCAGTCTCATCCAACTGTGCCACAGGGTGGCAGGCCTCACTACCTGAAAGGCCCTCCCCACCTCCCAGCTTATCCATTTAACATCCTCTACTGATCTCTGTCTCAGGCAATCTACCTCCATGGGGGAGATAAAGTTCTCTCTCTCAGGTTATTGAAGAGAAGTCATCATGGCTATTTCTGCTCCCCCAGAAACGGCAAAGGCCCTGAATAAAACTCTACCTCCCTTCTCACCATCAAACACTCATCACCCACCACATGCCAGCGGCTGGCCTGAAACCTCAAAGAACTCTTTTTGGTCCACCGGACGGTGAGCTAAATGCTATCTTAAATCCTGCTTTCTTCTTGCCGAGGCAGAGAAAACTCTGTCTCTTCAGAGCTTCTGACTCTGCCCTGGATCCCAGTCACAGGCTGCACAACCCCTACCCCCAAACCCATCCGCAGCCCCAACCCCAACCCCACCAGGGATGATTCACCAGCCCAGAATCACTGGAATTGGTTTGGCCGGTTACCAATCCTTATAGAGAGGAAGCAGGGGTCAGGGACTCAACAGACATCTGCATTGCCTATGGGTCTGACGATTGCAGCCACTGGAAATAGTAGTAAGTGAAGAAGCCTTGTGGTTAGACAGCTCAGTCAAAAGAAAACTGGGAGCGCCCCCTGCTGGCACGTGCTCGGTAACAGCCTGTCTGTCCTCCGACCCCCTTACCCCACACCCCCTCCTCAGGAGGATGCTTATAAGCAAATAAAAATGTTCTGAGATGAACTTGGATATCAAGAGACTACACTGTTCTGAAATACGCCAGAGAGAAAACGTTTCTGAAGCAATAATAGGCTGAGAAAAACAAAAGACCCAGAAAGACTGCTGGAGCTGTACGCAGTGGGACTTCAAGCTATTTCCAATGACCTGGCAACCGAGCAGTTGGGCTTGTGGTGATGCTTACCTCCAAGGGTGGCGGAAAGTAGGAAATGTGTGCCGTACTTTTTGATCAGGTTTTCGGTAACCTGCTGCAGGTTGGGTCTCCTTCCGAGGAGGCGGATGTTCCGGATAAACTCTGGGGCGAGAGGCAGTGGCAAACTGAAGACGTCCTTCCTCTCGAGAGCCAAGTTGTTCACTTTCCAACGGGCAAACTCCCTGGAGGAAGAGCCGAGGGACACAAAAAGCTAATAGTCGTTCAGAACACGAGGCGTAGAACCTGAAGTCGGTCATGTTCTTCCTCCACGGGCACCCCCTCATCTCCTCCCAGTCCACATGTCCCCAGACAAAGGCACACAGAGCCTGGCAGAGGCACCTTGCCCTCTCACCTGGCCTGTCACTCCAGGCTGTGAGAAAACCCCATCTCGGCTGACCTCATTACAGCCTCTCCCACCCAACTTTCTCATCGGAGAGTAGCTGATTAGCTTATTCACATGAAGGCATTTATAGCAGCAGGGAAAAACAAAAACAAAAAACCACTCTGTGTTGGTTTCAGAGCTGTGATTTAGTCACAATCGTCACACAGCGGCTGAGTCACATCACCTGTCTTGGCCTCAGTTACTCATCTGTAAAGTCAGTGAGGTTGGTCTAGAACAACAGTTCTCAAACTTTTGATCTCAGATCTCCTTCACACTCCTAAAAAATCATTGAATCCCCCACATTTGTTTATGTGGCTTATATCTATTGATATTTACCATTTTAGGAATTAAAGCTGAGAAAATGAAATTTATTATTTCATTTAAAGATAAAAATAATAAACATGAATAACACTTTTATGTCAAGTATACAAGTATGCTTTTTAACAAAACACATTTAACAAGAAGAGTGGTGTTGCTGTGCATTTTTGCAAATCTCCTTAATATTTGGCTTAGTAGAAGAGAGCTGCATTCTTATATTTGCCACTGCATTCAATCGGTTGCCATAATTGTGGATTTTATCTTTGGTACCACACTAAACAAATGATATTTTCTTAAAAGTTAGTTACAGTATGGAATCTAAAACCATATCAATGAAATTTTCATACTCTGTTACATTAAAATTCAGTGTTCTATATTATACTTCGAATGTATCTTTCCACTCTGTGATTTTGTAACATCATGCATTGGCCATCTAGAAAATACTGGATCACTGAGTTACACACATCTTCTACATTTTGACACTTTTCATTACATACTATCAAAACATCACATTACTTAATATCACCACCAATCTCATCAGAAAAGTCTTTAAATATTGGGAAGCTGTCAAGCTCATGATGATGAATACAAGTTTTACAAAATTCTAATTTTTGTTTGAAGGCTTACATTTTATCATTGGTAACCAATATTGTTAGTCGTTTTCTTGAAGAGGCTGGCTTACTTCATTCATTTTCATGAGAAAATGTCTGGCAAACACTCAAATCTGAATAACCATAGTTTATCGGTTGGTTGTGCTTTCAAGAAAAATGGGGTTCCATGAAATAAGTGGCTAGTTTGCAACTCAATCACAAATGTATCCTTTCTTGAGACAACCATAGAACTTCAGTAGCCTCAGACATGCTTTATGTGTATTTCCCTTGAGTATGTATATTAAAAAGTTACATACTCAAGGGTCAAGACACAATAAAATTAATAAATGTTACTGCTATAAGGACATTTTTAAGTGAAGCTAGTGATGTATGTGCGTGAGTGTGTGCACACTCACGTGCAAGTGTGTAATGAATCGTGACTGCAGGTGTCATTTGGTATGACTGCCTTTATTAAAATTAAGATGCCAGCAGTTTTAGTCACCATTGGTTTTGTATCTTCAGTGCAAATATCAACAGACACTCTGAAAAGAACTAAGTGGACCCATATTTTGAGAAGCCCTGTTCTAGAAGATGGTGAAGTTCCTTTCTAATTTCATGCAGGATTTTAATCTTCATGCTTTGCTCCTCACTAAAATGTTTGCATTTTAAAGGGAACAGATTTCCAAGGGGAATTTTTGTCCTAGGAAGAAATTTAAAGGATCATATCCATTAGTAACAAAGGAGTTTTATGCTGTCTCCAGAATTATACTGGTAAGAACCAACTCCACTGCCCTAGTGAGCACTAAAATGTTGAATCTTCACAACCTCCTCACCCATCCAACCCTGCTCATCACAACCGTGCTAAACTTTGGTCTAACCTTTCCCAAAAATCCACAGAGAACTAATGATGGGGCTGCAGAAAAATAAAATAATTAAAAATAAATTTAAAAACCCATGCCCACATTGAGGTTAGAGAATCCCTCTATTTAACTCCAGAGATTGAGGTAGAGAGGAGGAGGGTGCGCCAAACAGTACTAGGAAAACAAAGGAATATGAACAACTGATAATTCATGGTTCCAAAAAAGTCTTTAAAATTTCTCACTATGTGGTTTTATTTATCTGAACAGGCAAGTTCATAATGATACATTATCAGTTATTTCTCTTGTACAGGAAATGGTAAACTTTAATTATAGTACAGGGTATTTGTCAAAAGCATTTTCTAACCCAAATTCCACTGCAGAGTGAAGAACCATTGATCAATCTCATTTCTAATTGTCTGGACGGGAACTACGATCTTCTCATTGGCCTTGATGAGTCATAAAATCAGGTTACTTAAAACAAACCAAAGAACAACAAAAAAAATTCCTTAGGGCCATCAAACCCAGGCCCCCTACCTTGGAATAGGCCACATCTAGACTTCATTAATTAATAATTTCTATCCTATTATTTTTCTAGTGGGCGGAAAAAGGTATTCTTCCATTTTTCATAATTTCTTTCAACAGTCAATGCCCCTCACTGAAAGGAAAGGCCATCTTACCATAGAGGTGGGCCCCACTTTCATTAAATCTAATAAGTAAAACTTGGTTGTTCCATGGCTTGCTCTGTCGCTTCAGTTAGAGCTGCCAAGCAGAACGTCTTCTGAGAAGCTTTCCCTGACCTTCCCATCCCAAAGAGCATCCTCCTCCTTTCTCTGTCCCCGTGTTCTTGTCTATGTTTCTTTGTAGGGCTTATCACTACCTGACACAATTCATTTTTTATTCTCTCTCTCCCATTAGAACATAAACTCTACGAGGGCAGAGTTTTTTCTGTCTTGTTCAACTGTATCTCCAGCAATAAAACAATGTTAGATGTTCTAACAATAGGACAACAGTAGACATTCAACATATTTTTGTGGAATGATTGAATGAGAGATTCTCTAAGTCACTTGTTTTAAGTACACAGCTCTCCTAAGTCTAGAGTTGTTTGCAAGGATATTGACAACTTGACAAAAAAAAAAAAAAGTTACAGGATGAGAGTACATGGGAGTAATAACCAATTAATGATTGATCCAAAATGAAGGACAACATTCTAAATGTGTACATGTATCAATGAGAAAATCAGATTTCATTTATAAAAATGTAACATAGGCATAATTTTGTGCATTTTAAAATACAAATCAAGGTACTGCTGGCCTATTACTTGGATTTGGTAAACTGAGTCTGGGTCTTCTTGTATTGTCTTCAGTGGACATGGATAACTCCCAATGACTGTCCACTATCCGCACTCCAAAGTCCAGTGAGGAAACAAACCAAAAAATCCAAAAAAACTTTTGATCAAACTCTGCTCTTCTTTCTGCCCAAATGCTGATGATCAACATGTCCATCCCTCTGCACTGGTTCTGACAACAATCCCTGCCACACTCCTAGTGTTAAAGGTCATCGAAACAAGCAGCAGTGTTGGCATTTGGCACTTTTACTTAGTCTTCATCTTCCTATGTCTGACATCAGACTTGGAAGCTCATATACTTCTTCAAACCAATAGACAGTTTGGGGTACATCTTACTTAAATGAGGAAATTGAAACTCAAAAAGCTAAGTAATTTGCCTGATGTCACACAACTACCAGGAGGAAAGATAGGCTGTTAGAACTGGAAGGAACATTTGAGTAATATTTGCCAATCATTTTTGCTTTACTGTGTACACGGAAAATTCTCTTTATATGAGGCATTGGAGTCAATGAATGAGGCTACTCAGACCAGAGGAGACAAGTGCAGGGAGTCCTGCTTCCCGAGACCTTGCCCAATTGCTTCCGAGGACTGAGGGGTCAGTATACAGACATCCCTGTGACCCATTTGCAGCATACCCGGTTAAGAAGATCTTTCCAACCCCTCGTGTTATGAGAAAACCACGAAACAGAGAAGGTAAGTGATTTGCCTAAAGCATCATAACCAGTTGGTAACAGAACCAGAACAAAAAGCTAGCTTCCTGACCCTCCTCCAGGCTATTAACAGCAACTGTGACGATAGTAGCAATAAATAGCAACAACTGAGACCCCGAGAGGTTAAGAAAGTAACTTGGATGAAGTCACACAGTTGGTTGGTGGCAGAGTTGAGTTTAAAACCTAGGTCAATACCATATTGCTGTTTCTACAGCACTGTTTTCCTTTGTATAGATCAGATTAAGTGCATTTATAATAAATGCAACAATTGCATTTATTGTTTAAATGCTTACTATCTTTTAACAAAAGTATTTTCATTACCTGGTACATTCTGTTCCTTTAATTATCTACACAAAACATTAATTTACTGCATATCCAAAGTACAGTGCCACATTTACACCACAGCAAAACCTTTCTGGATTAAGGCGGTCTCCATGTGCCCATTTACAAGAGGAGAAATTGAGACCCAGAAAAAAATCAAGTCCCTACTTAAGGCCTGAATCCTACTCCTATGGCTGCTTAGGAAATCATAACACAGAATAACAAATGACCTAGAAAAATGAATGATACTGTCTTAGGAAGCTTTTTATGAGCAAATAATAAAAAATAATGACTAACATTTAATGAATTCTTAGTATGTGCTAAGCATTCCAAGCATCTTATAAGGATTAGCTACTATAATATTCAAAACATCCCTATAAGGGGGGAAATATAATTCTTTTCATTTTATGGATGATGAAATTGAGGCACAACTAAATTAATTTATCCAGTTGGTAATGGCCAGTAGGTGTCAAGGTCAGGATTTAAGCACAATCTGTCTAGAGGATACACTGCCTTTACCGCTATACTATATTACCTCCACCTGTGAAACTCAAAGGGCACGCGAGATTATTGTAAGTGGAGCATGTGTGTGTGGCTGGGGAAACAGACAGGGAGACAGAGACAGAAAGAGACAGAAAGAGAGTTTCATTGGAGAA